GCCTGGGTGTCTCAGTCGGTTGAGCGTCCGACTTCGACTCAGGTCATGATCTCGCGGTCCGTGAGTTCGAGCCCCGCATCAGGCTCTGTACTGACAGCTGGGAGCCTGGGGCCTGCTTCGGATTCCAGGTCTCCCTCTCTCTGCCCCTCTGCCACTCGTGCTGTCTCTCTCTCTCTCTCTCTCTCTCTCTCTCTCAAAAATAAACATTAAAAAAATTTTAAAAGAACAGGGAGATATATGTAAAACCTTGACGCCAGCCGAGTTCCTCCCGGAAACATGCTTGTCAGCCGAAGCACTCGCGTATCAAAGCGAATTTCAAGATCCCTTGCCTCGGTTGTGATCATGTGACCTCCGTACTACTCGTATGGCAAGACATCCCTTGTTTATCAAGTTACAATGTATTAGAAACGTTGGCTCGCTTGCAGAACACTCCCAGAACAAGTTACTGGCAACTCAAGGTTTTACTGTATCTGCACTGGTTAATATGTATCAATAGCTGTATCGCTTAGAGTGCTCACACACACACACCCCCGAGAAGTTTCGCACATTGTTATAACAAACCTCCTCCACCACCACCCCCATCAAGTTCTCTACATTTGGAAGGTTGTTTGGAGTTTCAATGTGGGCGTGGAGGAAGGGGTGGCGAATGACCCAGGGCAGACCGCCAGGCAGGAGCCGCACTGACTGGGATACTCAGAAGCAGAACATCCCAGAGATCAGAAGCCTCCCAGAAAGCTTGGCCCCGGCTTTCGGGGACAGGGACAGGGACCAGGAGAAATGCCCAAGTGTACGTCTGTCCAGGATCCCAGGCCAGCTGCGGTCTGGGGTCCGGCCCAGGACTGCCGGAGACTGAGCGGCTTAGTGACGGCAGGCCGCGTGCCCTCCGCCACTGGCCTCAGTCACCGCTCCTCCTGCCCAAACCTCACAAAGGAGACAAGAATTGGCTCTTTTTCCGTTCAGACTTTATTTACAGCAAAGTACATAGTATGCGGTCATTTTTGTTAACTACTAACAATAAAGGCAGGGCAGTAGAAAGAAAGGGAGGAAGACCAAGTATCTGAAAGAAAAAAAAAAACAAACCCCAAACAAAAAATGCCTACGTCTTTATTTAGCTACTCACCCTGTTCCTGAGGCAGGACCAGCTAGGCACTCGTGACCTCTAACTGCAGCAAGGAAGCTGATCTGAAGGCCAGCCACCTGGAGGCCCCAGGAGGGCAGCATGGGGTCCAGAGACCAAAGATCAAAGAGCACTCTGAGCCCCAGACTGACTCCAGGCCTTTTCCCAACCTGCTGTCTCCCTTGTTTCACTGACACCAAGCCTGTTGCCCCCACCCCACCCTGAGACAGGGGAAAGGCAGCGTTAGACCGAAGTCCAGCCGGTCCTTCCCAGAAGCACAGCCCTGCGATCCCAAACCTGCCCTAGGCTACTGACCCCAGCACGGTCCCTTGGTGCTGGAGTCGCTGACGGGCAGGTGGGAGACTCCAGGGCAGAAACATTTCCCTGCAAGGATCTACTAGTTCCCTCCGTGGGCCTTCGGTGCCAGCACAGGTCAGGGGTGCTAAATCGAGGAAGCTGTACCAGGTCAGCAAAGGAGGGGCTCCACAGACCAACTGGGCTCCAGTCCCTGCTGGCTCCCACCTGCTCGGGGGAATACGCAAGCCTTCAGCCTGACCCAGTGACCTCGTGAGAGACTGGCAACCCGCCCTGGGCCTGGGGACAAGCGTCCAGTGCTGAGCCCAGCAGGGGCGGGTGGGCAGCATCCGCGGCTGAGACCGGAGCGGGCTGTTGGGGAATGATTGGTTCTGAAGGGTGAACAGGAGACCCTTCCCCGCACCCGCCCCCTGGCCTGTTCAGGGGCCCACCTCGAGGGCCTACCTTAGGCACTCCAAAGGACACCTGAGGTCCAAACACTCGCGTGTTCCTTACACACACTCCAACCTCTCTGTCCCCACTGGCCTCCGGCTGCCCAAGGAAAAGAAACCCGGGTCAGCATAAGTTCTATTAGCGCGAAAGAGTAGGAGGTCAGGCCTTCCCATGACACGAAGCCTGGATGTGTGTTCCCTAAACACTTGGTCTGTGGATAATACCTGGGCAGGGGTGGGGAAAAGAAGCAAGCACCATTGGGCAGCTCTGAAGCCACGGGACTCCCGTGCACACATGACCAACATCATCCCCACCCTGCTTGTCGGTCCCTCCTCCCTGGGCTGCAGACAAGACCCACAGGACTCCGGTCACGGTCTCTGGCCTAATGATCCTACCCCTGACTCACCAGTGGAATCAGAGATCCCAGGGCTCTCAACACACCAAGTCCAGGATTTGCCAGATAGAAGGCTCAAACTCAGATACTCAGTTGACTAAATGCTGGGGTGGCCACACAGGGGCAGACTCCTCCCTTCCTTGCCCCAGTGCCCCCAGCCAAGCCACCAAGACCTGTGACAGTTTTACCTGGAGGCAAGGCAGGCCTAGCACTGTTTCCCAGCAGAGACACTGGAGGCTTGGTCCCAACACCACAGGTAGATGAGGAAGCAGCTAAGAAAGTCAAGGCTCAGAGATGAGAAGAATCCATCTTCCAAGGCAGTGGGACAGACAGCCAAGGCACTAAATGGTTTGGCACCTGGGAGCTTCAAGTAAAGTTGAATGTGCTACCCACCGGAAGGCCAAGGCTCCCCCAGACAGGAGTGGGCTGCCCCTGGGCACAGAGAGGCCCCATCAAGGCACGAGGCCTTGGGTCCTCAGGATCCTAACCCAGGCCTGCCACCCACGCTTCATGTCAGAACTGTCGAAGGCATGACGAGAAAGAGAACACGGACTCTGAGACATCCAGAACTGGCCTTCAACGTGGGCACCTCGGAGAGCCTTCCCCTGCTCCCTCCAGAGCCTGCTGCGGTCTCCTGGATGACTCAGGGGTGGCAAAGCTCTGCCGGGGAGGAGGTTTGACTCTTTTGAAACAGCAAAACAGCGTTAGAGTCCAATGGAACCCAGAAAGGGGGAATCAAATTGGACGGCGGTTTAAGTCTCGGGGGCAGTGCGGTGTGGCGGGAGAGTGGCTGTGTCAGGTTTACCTGAACGGCTCCAATGGGCTAGGACAGCAATGGAGGGAGAGGGTTCCCCAAAACGTTTCGGGCCGTGGCCTCCCAAGCACTGAGAAGGTCGAGGAAGAAATGCAGGCCTCTGACTCATCTGCAGTTAAAAGCTGAGGCTTTAGGACTCTACACTCCTCAGTCTCGGTCTCACCTAGTCCCCCCCACTTCCTGCCCCCCATCCAGCAAGGATCATCAGGGATCTGTACTTCTCCCAGAGAGGGAGCCCTCAGGAAAAGTGGAACTCTCTACCCAGTAACTATGGCGACTGTCATGCTGCGAGTGACAATTCCTGCTGGAAAGTGCGTGCTGTCCTCATCCGGCAGCCAAGCCCCGCATCTCGGTGAATAACCCCTGCAGGGCTGTCGCCACCCTGTGAGGGGCCACCAAGTGTCTTGCTGCTAGCAGAAGCCCTCCTCTGAAGCCCGAACTCAAGAGGCCACCTGTGCTCTGCAATCTGGGAAAAGGCCCAGGGAATCTAACCGTAGACGTCCCCGGGAGGCGGGAGGAACCAGTGTTTCCTCGGACGCTACAGTAGGTACCTTGCTACTCTCTCCTCCCCATATTTTACCAGGAAATGATCCCATCAAATCCCTGTCAAGGAAGGAGAGAGAGGCGGTGCTGGCTTTCGGAGAGCCTGGGTGGCTAAGGAAGGAGACCCTGAGCTACCAGGCGGCCAGAGGTGGGGCATCGGGCAAGAAGAAAACACAGAAGACTTGTTTCTCTTCAGTGGGCCTCTTCCCTGAGTTTGATTTTTGAGCTGAGGTCTTGCCTAATTTCCACTCAAAAAAAAAAAAAAAAAAAGAAGAAGGAGGAAAGAAGAAGGGGGTATCTCTTGTCGACGTGTCACAGAGCTCCTGCTCCGGGAAGGTGGCACTGTGGCAGGGGGACAACCCAAGGCTCCCAACTCCACTGTCACTGAGTGGCACAGGCACTCAGAGCCACTCCAGCCTCCCACACCGAGGCCTGAGCCTGCCCCGCCTGGATCCATCACAAGGGCATCACAAGGGCAATCCCCACTGGACCAAGACTCCAGCTCGAGCCCCCAGACACTCAAGTACAGGCCCTCCTGCAGAATACTTACAGCAAACAGCTTTACAGTATTTGTACATTTACACAAAAATAGATCCTTTTATATATATATATGTATTTATAACTGGTTACACGTTGGATTCATAATTAGGCATCACCAGTAGTAGTTGGCACAGTTTATCATTTAAGCTCAGGGTCAAATTCGGTTTCATTGCGCCGCTCCAAAGCACAAAAAGAAACAAAAACAGAGAAAGAAAAACCAAAGGCATGTGACCTCCATGGTGTTTTCTTAAATACAGCAATGTCATAGGAAACCACGTGTACAGATGAACACCGCCTCCTGATCCCTCCTCCTGTCTCTTGAAGGTAGGGGCCGGGTCGGGGGGAGACAGGGGTCAATGCGGCCGGCTGCTGGACTCCGAGGACTGCCGCTTGCGTGACGGGATGTAGCCGTTGAGATAGCCATTGGTCTGTCGTTTGGAGAGCCCTCCGTTCAGGATGTCCTGAATGTGCTGCACGATGAGGTTGATGGCCACTGTGGGGCAGAGGGTGGCAGCGTGAGGGACGCAGGGCAGAGAGGAGACAACCCTTCTACCAGGGAACCCACCAGCTCCCCATCCCGAAGAGGCTGAGCCCGCAGAAGGCGCTTTCCTCCAAAGGAAATGCAACATGGGACTCTCTTTTCTCAGCTTTAGAAATAAATTCTACGTCTCAAGCAAGTGATTAATGTGTCAGCGTCACCAAAATCGGAACAAGCATCAAGTGCTTTCTGAGACGATGCACAAGGAACAGGACACCTCTTGTGCGGTCTTCTCCAGGTGGTAGAAAGCGAATGCAATCATGAGGAAACAAACCCAAACCGAGAGCCGTTCTACAAAACCACGGGGCCTTTCTCCTCAGAACTGCCAAAAGAGATTGTCCCCATGTTCACTTTCCAGAATGTGATGGGTGTTCTGCGGCTATGAATGAAAATGCCCTCCTGTTTAAGAAATACACAGTGATGGGTTGCCTGGGTGGCTCGGTCAGTTAAGCGTCCGACTTTGGCTCAGG